TATATATATATAGAATTTTATGTATATAGAATCTAACTTGTAGATAAACTTTAGAATTCGTAGATGATCGTGGAGTCTTAAGTCGTAGAAAACCGATCAAGCATAGTCTAATATAGGAAAAATGCTTGACTAGAATTGGTCAATTTCTTACGATTTGAAGCCTTGCAACCGTCTACAACTTTTTTATTTATATATATGAGCCTCTAATTTGCTAGCGGTACTATTGATTATTTGTTACATTGACGAATTAATTTGCAATCGTAACAAATCGATCATTTTTTTAAACAAATATCACACTTGCTTTCCCTTGATTTGTTCCTGTAACAAAATCATTTTTCTCAGTAAAGAAACGCGCTGTTCTATGACTGTCGAAACCTCGCCTCTTTTCTCAATGATAAAGAAAAATAACCTGTATTGCTTCACTTTTCCCGCCCTAGTAACGAGGAATATCCGACTTCCCATACGTTAAATCCAGGACGAAATCGGTATGCCTTGGCTGAGGCGTACGTTCACGCGAACGATTCCCAGCGATTTTCATTCGATATCGGGATGAATGGTGCGACTCGTATCACCTCCGCAACCCGCAATTACCCGCTGAAGTTGTTCTTTCACATGCACTTATTGTATGTTCATTTGTACCAGTTTGCCGTGAAGCACCGGCGTGACTTCCCCGGGGCGTTGCAACGCACGCTGAGCACACTAAGTTTATTATTAGAACAAAAACTGATTCGTTATATGTGATTGCTTGAAAAACCAGGATTGCTACAAAACTGGAAATCAGAGAAATTAGGGAAATTGAAATTGATCAGAGAAATTAGGGAAAAGTCAGGGAGAAAAAAATCAGGTTTTTGCGAAATTTTCTAGAAAATTAAAATTCTTAGTTTTAATGAAGTTTGATATGCGTATACATCTACGCAGTTTCGGAATATTACCGAAATATTATAATATACGGAATATTGCTTGAATTTAATAATAATTAAATTCAAGCAATGTCAGCAACATTAATAGTAATTTGCATGTCTACGTTAAATTACTCTCAATAAAATATTTAATGGTTTCCAAATTGGATGAAAATATATAAAATTTCGAAATATTGGAAGTTAGAGATAATCGTCTACGGAATTTTGTCTACGAATTTGTCAAATTTGTTACAGATATCGATAGTTTGTTAAATTAACAAAATTTTTTTTCTCTCCATATGACGTATATCAATTAAATTCCGTCCGTCGAAGCCAAGGTTCGATTTTCACCGGCGTTGGTTAACTTTAATCGCGATCTATAGATCCCTCGTCTCTCTGTTCAGATCATAGCGCTGACCACGATACAGGTAGAGGAAGTGAATTCAATTAATCACGGATAATTAAGCCGTGGTTAATTGAATTTTCTTCCTGTCTCTATTATATCACACTCGCCGGCGAGTGTTACGATCTGACGGAGGAATTAATTAGATCGCAGTTGATTAAATTTACTCCTAATTAGATGCATATATTATTCTTATTCAGAGGGAGATTCCTTTCGTCTTCCTTCTTTTCTCTATTGATTCGTACATAATTTAACGACGAGAGCGTATCGCGATCGAAAATAAAATATATTTTGACATAAAATGTAATCACGACATTGTTCGTACGACGAAACGTGACATTGCTCATACGAATTGGGATGTGATGGCGATTCTTAATAGTTCGATTCTTGTTCGAACACTGAAAAAAAATTATTATCAACAGCATTATTTTAACTGAAAATGATCTTGTTAATTCAATAACAGTATTAATGAAACATATAAAATTTTATCAAAACAAGATATGTTTCCTTAATAGTGTTATGTGAATTAAACAAAATTATTTTAAATTAAAATAATGCTGTCGATGTAACATCATTTTTTTCTCAGTGTATATAATAAGGCTTTCTTTCGGCGTAATCTCGTCACGACCGTACGCATTGAGTTCGCGTCTCGCAACCCAGCGGACGGGACAGATAACTCCATCACGTGAGATATTACATACTCAATTTACGCATTGCCGTCGTTAGCGTTCGCGCGGTTATTACGGATACGTTAGGATACTTAATTATTATTAATGACTCCGCGCACCCCGTTACCTCATGCGCGCGAACGCGGCGGATTTACCGTATTCTACGGAACGAAATCGTTCGTTTGTAATCAAGACGCGTTATGTTCGCTTATTTGATCATAAATGACTCAACGGTTTCATATAACATCGATATGTACCGCCGTTACTTCAATGCGGATAAAGAAAGAGAGAGAAAGAGGGAGTGAGAGAGAGAGAGAGAGAGAGAGAGAGAGAGAGAGAGAGAGAGAGAGAGAGAGAGAAAGAGATGAGAAGGAGATCTGAAGACATGTAAATTAGAGGATATATAGAGGCCTATAGAGGTCTGCGTGCGCAAGGAAAACACGGGAAAGAGAAGAAATGATTTCTCCCCTTGGCTATGAAAGATTTGCCTAAGGTGTGACCCAATTGCCTGATTCATCTTGCTTTATCGCAGAACGGAGCGTGGCACACACTCGATTAACTTGGATAATTACGATGTGTCCCGTAACGACGTCCAGCCGTATCCGAATGCCGATTACTTTCTCGTTTTTGCCATTTTGCATACGCGTTATACGTCCACGCTCGTCGTCTACGCGGCGAGCGCATTAGATACATATTTTCTACGTACGCGGAGGTACGTTACGGTGCACACGCTACTTTCTCGGTCGACCTATATGGGATTTTTTTCTCAAACCCCATACGATCCTCTATGTTGGCTGTATAACTCGAATCTGGGTTCCTTTCTATCGCGCATCATCGGATACACGCTTTTCTGCACTCGCTTAAAGTAGAGGGGGCGAACAGGAATGGTAGATTTGGGATTCTTTTCCATCATATGATGAGAGAAGAAGGAAAAAAGAGTTCTGTCGGCACTTCGGGAATTTTATAGCACGTTCTAATCTTTTTCGATAAGCGTGAATGTAAAGTAAGTTTTCTCCTAGCTTCTATCTATATTGCTTTCCGATTTACTTGGAATAATTTGTAGATCTAGGATATACCAATAATATACGTTTATGAGAACTGTGGAACTTTTCCTATTGGAATTGCAGATATTATTATTCGATGAACTTGGAGTTTAATTTCTCTCGTATCGCATAAGTTAGAGAAGGAACTTTAATTATGGAATTATCCAACGACGGGCATAAAACGTAATGAAACGTATTACAACTTATCCAACATTCCATGAAACAGTAGGAGACGTGAATGAACAGCAACGGACGAAGAATATTTCTCGTCACTGGTTTTCTCCTCGCTGATCTCTCGGAGAACTTCCTCGCTTATCTTCCGGACGATTTCTGATTTTCTAGCGAAATTCACCGGATGACGCGCTGCCTCAATTTTAACATTAAACCGTGTAGGATGTCGACGTTTCGAAAATCACTTCGCGTTTGCGACCTGCATGACTGTATAAAGCAGCCGTCGCGGAATTTTGCGGAATTCACGGCGGTACGTCGACGCGACTGGCTTAACGTATAAGCCAATTAGGACTTGGATATTCTGTTGAGCTCGCGACCATTCATCATGCAAAGCGATTACAAGCCGGGAATCTGTGCCGTGATAGTTAAGACCGGCGGCAGTTAAGGCAAAATAAACGGAACAATACGAGAAACACGACTAGCGGAGACGCGGTACAGGTAGAGACGAGGGGGGGGGGGCAGTCAACCGGTCGGTCGATCGGTTAGAATTAATGCGCTTACCTCGCTGGCGGTGGTGTAATTTGTTGTCAGTTTGATTTGCGGTCTAATCTTTCCGGGCGATTCCCGCGTCTCCTTGGCCGTCAAAGGCGCACTGGTCGTGACATCGGCGACTGCGGCGGTTGCAGAAGCCGCTGATTTTCTCGATGACAACACCGTGGCTGCGGTATGTTGAGTAGGGGAGATTATCCTCGGCGATGTCTCGGTGATGTAGGTGGGACTTGAGCCATCCTGTGGAGCACGGGAGGTCGGAAGACTCGCCGTGGATGACGTTAGCGACGGCGACGCAGATGATGTCGTCGTTGTCGTCGTCGTCGCCGTCGCTGTCGCCGTGATGGTCGTTGACGAGGCTGGCAGCTTCAGCGTCGTCGTGGCGGATGTAGCGACTGTGTGCGGCACCGTTGCCGTCGTCCTCGTCGTCGTCGCCGCCGAGGAAAATGACGAGGAATATAACGTAGCGTTCGCGATCGGCCTCGACGCTGCCGTCGTCGCAGTGATCGCCGAGGTGTTCTTGCCTCCTCCGGATGTGATCGCCGTGGTTTTCTTGACCTTGGCTGAGTCGACCTTCGATGACGCCGGGACGGCCGACGCTGTCATCAGCAGCAACGCAAGATAAACGTAACACTGGATAGCCCGCATCCTTATAGTATCAATATTACGGAAAATTGCCGCTTCCGTTACCGTATTTTCGCGTGCAATTTGTCTTCCTTCAAGAAGTTCTTATCGTATATAAGCGACGCTTTCTTTAGACCGGTAGTTCGCTTATAACCTGCGAATAAAATGCATATTATGTCAGTAACTATCATGGAACTGCAGTTGTATATTTTCTATCCCGTTAAGGCTACTTTAGACGATTCGTAATCCATCAGATTTCAAGATAAAATTCTGCTTATGATTATACGTATAT